TGAGAGAATTGATCAAAAATAATGACCAGAAATTATTTACTCTCGATTTAAAAATAGATATGAAAGCATTGAAATGATTCAAGTGTTTCCATAGCCCATATAAAAAGCAATCATCTAACATAAAATCATTATTTTGCAAATGAACAGTACATTTTCAATATATTTCAAGTTCTTTCATGACAATTCTAGGATATACAATGGGGCCTTTGTATCCACTGGGGTATGGTTCCAGGATCTCCACAGATCCCAAAGTCCATGGATGCAATGACATAATTAGTTATATGAAAGTTTGCTTTTGGATCTATCTATCTATCTATCTATCTATCTATCTATCTATCTATCTATCTATCTATCTATCTATCTATCCTCTGTCTGTCTGTCTGTCTGTCTGTCTTTTCAAGTCATGAATGGTTGAAGCCATAGATACAGAATCCATGGAGGAAGAGGGCCAACTGTAAAGTTACTTTCATGTTTCTTAACAAAGCAAGATTTGACAAAATACACAGCAGCTAAATATATAATTTAGTAGCAAAAGTGCAGGTTAGTTGCTCTTATGACAGTAAGTCATAACAGGATCAAGTATGTGTGTGTTAAAGAAAATTATTAATTATTATGTGCAGCTGCTAATGTAGGTCAGCTAGTAAGTTTGGACCACACCTGGTGGGATATAACTGTCTGGTTTTAGAATACAGTTCAGCTTTTGCTCTGAGGAGCATTTGCTCAGGCATTTTGCTCAACCATTTCTACTGCTCTCTCATTTGGATGAAGATGAAGAAGCCTTATTCTGTAGGGCTGGGCGGTTTCGTTCGTTAATTTTGTAATTCGTTATTGATTCGTATTTAAATTAGCTTACGATCCGATATTGAACCATGCAGGAGCAACTAAAAATCGAAACGAATTTTTCAATTTATTTCATAATTGTTTTGTAATTGGTTTGAAATCGTTTCGAAATTGTTTCGAAATTGTTTCGTTATTATTTCCGTATGTCTGGTGCAAGTTTTATAGTTGTTGTTTGTTTTATCAGTGATAAAAAAATAAATTATCACACCAACAGTCAACAACAGAGGGAGAGGGAAGCTTCAGAAGTTCCCCCTGTCCCATTTGGAGGTTTTTTTAGCGTATTGCGCAATCGCGTCCGCCATTAACGAATCAATTCGAAATTTACGAAATTTCGTAAATAACGAATTTTTTTAAAGAAAAATTCGGAATTCTTTTAAAAAACGAAACGTAATGGACCCCCTAAAAACGAAACGAGTTTAGAGACAAATTTTTCCGTTGTTACCCAGCCCTATTATTCTGTATTGCTTACAAAGACTATGTAAGTTTGTTGCACTGTTTGTAACATTGCAAGTTTATGTTTTAACTCTGCTAATAAGAGTAAAGTTTTTCTGTTTTTTCCCCTCTTGCCTGGGTGCAACATTATTGTGTCTTCTGCATTGGACTTGACTGAAATATACTTAGCGTGACAGGATAGACCACATCAGTTCTAGTTTCTTTGATATGGTTTTTGATGGGCAAGCAGTTGGCAACTGGTAGATACCATCTGTTCTCAAAAACTAGATCCATGAAACTGAGGATTGTGACCCAGAGTTTAGAGGCTACTTTGGTTAAGAACTGGGATAATGGCTCAGGTAGGACTATGTATCCCAGGAGGCGTTGCCAGTGAACTGAAAAGGTGGTGGGGTGAATCCGTCACTCTGTGTACGGCTACCTCGCACCACTGCTTCCCCATCACACAGAGGAAATGTAGCCAAAGCTACGCGGATCTTTGAAGCCAACACAGCACAAGCAGGCTCCCACATTTTGAGGGGAGCTTCTGATGACAATTATTTGTGTATTTAAAACATTTATATTTGGCCCTTCACACCCCACAGGGGACTCAGGGCGGAGCACAACATACATACAGCAAACATTCAATGCCGGGACATAAAACTGTAAATATATATACAAACATTAAAATCGCTTATATCGACTTTAAACTCAGTTCCACTCTGGTTGTGGGTGGGGTCTCTGCTGGAAGTCCAGAGATGTAGTGATGAGCTGCATGCCTATCAATCTGTGGACTGGTGGGGAAGTATCCTAGGATGTGATGAAGTCATAAGTTCCCGGTTTTACAGGAGGGAACAAATGCTTCAACATAGGAAAAGGACTAGTTGAACTCAATTTAGGAGCTGAGCCTTCTGTTTCTGAATACTAGAGCTGGGAAGGAGGGTTCATTTTTCTGAGTGGGAGAAAAGTTATCCAGCAGTTTCTTTGGAGTAGTATTCAATACTAGGCCTGGGTAACAACGGAAAAATTTGTTTCTAAAATCGATTTGTATTTGGGGGTTTTTTTTGTTTCGATATTTAAAATAATTACAAAATTTTCCTTTTAAAAAGTTCGATATTTACGAAATTTCGTAAATGGTAAAAAATTAACGAATCGATTTCCGAAACAATAACGAATTGATTCGTTAATGGCGGACGCGACCGCGAAATACGCTAAAAAACCTCCAAAACCTTCTGAAGCTTCCCTCTCCCTCTGTTGTTGACTGTTGGTGTGATATTATAATTTTTTTCACTAATTAAACCATAAAACTGGCCCAGACATGCGGAAATAATAACGAAACGACCTCAAAACAATAACGAAACGAATACAATATCGAAATACGAAGCATTTACAAAACGTTTTTGAAAATTTGTTTTTTTTAATAATTGCTCCAGAATGGTTCGTTATCATTTTGTAATTGAAAAAATTAACGAATTATTAACGAATTACGAATTAACGAAACGAAACCGCCCAGCCCTATTCAATACTAGTGGTTGTAGTCCAGTGTTTCCTAATGTCACGACCCCTTAATACAATTCCTCATGTTGTGATGACCCCCAACCATAATCTTATTTTCCTTGCTACTTCATAACTGTAATTTTGCTACTGTTATGAATGTCATGTAAATATCTGATATGCAGGATGTATTTTCATTCACTGGACCAAATTTGGCACAATACCTGATATGCCCAGATTTGAAACTGGTGGGATTGGGGGGGGGGGTGATTTTGTCATTTGGGAGTTGTAGTTGCTGGGATTTATAGTTCATCTAAAATCAAAGAGCATTCTGAACTCCACCAATGATGGAATTGAACCAAACTTGGCACACAGAACTCCCATGACCAACAGAAAATACTGGAAGGGTTTGGTGGGCATTGGCCTTGAGTTTTGGAATTGTAGTTTACCTACATCCAGGGAGCACTGTAGACTCAAACAATGATGGATCTGGACCAAACTTGACACAAATACTCCATATGCCCAAATGTGAACACTGACAAAGTTTGGGGAAAATAGACATTGACATATGGGAGTGGTAGTTGATGGGATTTATAGTTCACCTACAATCAAAGAGGATTCTGAACCCTGCCAATGATAGAATTGGGCCAAACTTCCCACACAGAACCCCCATGACCAACAGAAAATACTGTGTTTTCTGATGGTCTTTGGTGACCCCTCTGACACCCCCTCATGACCCCCTAGGGGTCTTGACCCCCAGATTGAGAAACACTGTTGTAGTCAAAGGCCTTCTTTCTTTTCTTGGTTCTATTGCAAGCAGTTAGTAGAAAAACTTGAAAATGTCACCTTTTTTGGACTGCAACTCCCCAAATTTGCTACCAGCTTTCAATGGTGGCAGTTTACAGTCTGACCATCATTTTGCACCTTCTCCCCAACATAGTCACACAGGTACTTACCTTATAAGTTAAAACAGAAGAGTCCGTTTCCACCTGGCTGGCTTTGCACCACCATTTCCAGACCCCCAATTTTTGTTCTTTACTGTCTTCTAGGCAATTCCAGCTGTTTGTATATTGGTTCTAGCTAATGGCTCTGGATGATCCACGTGGCCTTTGCTGCTCATCCAAGCGTACAAAGGAGAAGGTTGTTTTTGTTCTTCTAAATGGCTCTAGATTTGGTTACAGCCTGCCGTCATGTACAAAGAGATCTGGTACTTCTGCTTAATGCTCCCCTGAAGCACACACACACACCACTGGCCGGACGTTATATATACCCACACACTTGGAAATGTACGAACACGTGCCTTGTGACTCACACCCACTCCATAAGTGCCAGGAAGTGGCAAGAAGAGGAAATGACAGGTGGGGCCTTTCGTTCCCTTACAGATGCCCGGCATGCCGCACGCCTGGTGTTGTGAAGCATCCGCCATGAAGGTGAGTGACCCTCGGTCTCTTTAGCGTAGACTAGACCACCCAGGTCTCCCTTCTAATAATAACTTACATCCCTCCTCCCATTTATTTCCTGTCTCTGGAACAACTTACCAGCCAGAAGAAACGTTTCTGCTGGGAATTAACCCTTTGGGCTGGAATTGTCGGTACAAGAACGAGGCCTTCGGAAATGAAAGCCACATGTCCCCAATTAGAATGGGAGGGAGCCTAAAATAAGGGGAAAGAGTGTAAGATAGGTAGGTAAACTATATAGTGAATGCCGCATTATGTTTGTTGGCACCTTGGTCTCTCTCTTTCAAAGACACTCTGCCATGGAGAGAAACAAAAGACATAGTGTTATACATTTTGGGCAGTGATATAGGGCACACATTGCCAAATACATCTTCTCTCAAAGACTCCCTCTGCTCCCAACTATGGAGAGAAACTAAAGACATACTGTTACAAATCGTGGAGAGGGATATAGGGCACACACAGCCATATACAGCTCCTCAAACCCCACTGCTGGCCTCATCGGATATTCTAATAGTTACCATCTCGAAACTTAACTTTTCTATGCTTTGCACAAAGTTTTGATTCTAAAAGTAGAAGCCTCAGACCAGTTGGAAAGTTATAAAGTGTTGGTATGAGCCTGTGGGATTGTTAAGTGTGGGAGAGAGGAGAACAAGGGATTCAGCTTTTGTTCCAAAGCCAAGAAGGAGGGGGTGGCTGGTTAATTTCAGCTATGTTGGGACTACAGCAGACTGGATCCAATCCAGTAGGAGAGGCTTAACAGTCGAAAACACCAATTTCTTTTCACGATGCAGTCAGAATGAGCTCTAAGGGACTCCTTTCTAAGAGAAGAATGGCTGGATAGGTCAGCACAACCTGCTCAGATATCTGCATCACAATTCTCACATTCTTTGAAGTTTTCTTCCATTGTAAGCAACCATGTCACCAGTTCTCAGAGTCAAAGAAGGAGATCTTTTGTTGAGAGGAAGTGTCAGTATTTTTCCATCTCTGGAGACTGGATCGAGAGCTTGAGACCTCAGCTGAGCAGAAATGCCCATCAGGCTGATGATATGGTCATCTAGAACAGCAGAGGGCAACTTGTAGGGTAGGGTTCTGGCAGGTATGTTTGTGTGGTTATTATTCCTTTTGGCTGTTGCATCAATTTATTGTCAAATGCTTTCATGGCCAGAATTACTGGGTTGTTGTAAGTTTTTTGGGCTGTATGGCCATCTTCCAGAAGCATTCTCTCCTAACGTTTCAACTGTATCAATGGTTTTTACCATTTTGTCCATGTATGGCAGTGGTTCTCAACCTTCCTAATACTGCGACCCCTTAATACAGTTATTCATGTTGTGGTGACCCCCAACCATAAAATTATTTTTGTTGCTACTTCATAACTGTAATTTTGCTATTGTTATGAATCATAATGTAAATATCTCATATTTTTGGCACCTGAATTTGAATACTGGTGGCGTTGGTGGGGGGATTGATTTTGTCATTGGAAAGTGCTAGTTGCTGGGATTTATAGTTCACCTACAATCAAAGAGCATTCTGAACTCCACCAACAATGGTATTGAACCAATTATGGAACACAGAACTTCCATGACCAACAGAAAATACTGGAATGGTTTGGTGGGCATTGACCTTGAGTATTGGAGTTGTAGTTCACATACATCCAGAGAGCACTGTAGACTCAAGCAATGATGGATCTGGACCAAACTTGGCACGAATGCTCAATATGTCCAAATGTGAACACTGGTGGACTTTGGGGACTTGACATTTGGGAGTTGTAGTTGCTGGGGTTTATAGTTCACCTACAATTACAGAGCATTCTGAACCTCACCAATGATAGAATTGGGCCAAACTTCCCACACAGAACCCCCATGACCAACAGAAAATGTGTTTTCTGATGGTCTTTAGAGACCCCTCTGACACCCCTCATGACCCCCCCCCCCACAGGGGTCCCGACACCCAGGTTGGGAAATACTGATGTATGGTAACATTTCATTTGTATTTGGTAGTGGTAGAATATTGAACAAGGAGACTCATGTGGCACAGTTTTAGAAGTTTGATACTGCTTTAACTGCCATGATTCCAAAAGTACACAATCCTTGAAGTTGTAGTTTGGTCAGGAGAGACTCCAAATTCTCTAATTTAATCCCCTGACCAGTAGCACTAGAGAAGCTCTCTGTCTGAGAATTCTGAGTATACAATGAAATAAAAAATCTCAGAATTCCATGAGATGCAACTAAGAAAGTTAAAGTGGGTTCAGAGTGGATTAAGTGTGCAGTGAAGATGTTTATTATTACAGGCAAACAAACTTCTGTTAAAGGCTATAGGTGTTCAGTAATAAGATCTAAAGAGGCAGATGGTATCATACAATGTAGAAATTAGCACTGATTAGCCCTATTAGGCCTGGTGGTGCAGCGGGTTAAACTGCTGACCAAAACTTGCTAACAGAAAGGTTGGCGGTTTGAATCTGGGGAGTGGGGTGAGCTCCTGTTGTTAGCCCCAGCTTCTCACTATTAGCCCCAGCTTCTGCCAACCTAGCAGTTTGAAAACATGAAAATGTGAGTAGATCAATAGGTAGGATGGTAACGGCGCTCCATGCAGTCATGCTGGCCACATGACCTTGGAGGCGTCTACTGACAACGCCGGCTCTTCGGCTTAGAAATGGAGATGAGCACCATTGCACAGAGTTGGACACAACCAGACTTAATGTCAAGGGGAAACATTTACCTTTTAGTCCTATTAGCTCACTGTAAAATTTGGGCTTTCTAACTAGAAACTACTTGAAGGTTGCAACAGTTGGTGTCCATATTGCTCAGTGTATTTCTCTGATGTACAAGGACTGACATGGGGCCAATCAATGCAAAATGCTATTGTATGTTTACAACAAGAAGAGTGTTTCAAAATAGGTGACGGGGCTTGTTGTATGCAGTATTGGGATGATTCTGTGGCTTTAAAAAATCAATGCAAACAATGCAAACATGACTGACCAAGAAATAGTTTCTTGTTAAATAGACTTATTAAGAATTAGATTCCATTTGCACACTTTATATTATTCTCTTCATTACAGTCAATTTTCCTTTATATGGAAAAATATGTCGTATGTGACTGCTTCATACAGATTTTCATTTTAAAAACAACTGACCTAATCTATGTCAGAGATAAGCAACTATAGGTGTTGTGAGACTGACAACCTCATTATGACTTACTACTAAGAATGACTGATAGGAGTCACAGTCCAACACATTTGGAGGGCCACTGTTGCCCTCCCATTCACAGATCATGAACTTGTCAGGAAAATTAAAATGCTGTCCTGGCAATCAAGAACAGGCTATAAATAAGCCTTTATGTTTGCTCTGTCCTAAAATAATCTTCTTCATCCAGGAAACAGACATTCTGCAACAGGACAATTTAAAAGTCTGGGACCAGCATTCATTGTGCAAAATGGATAAATATGTATATTATAAGGACTCTCTTAATGGCCGTCTGGGCAGGGGGTCAAACAATCCCACCGCTGCCACCAATTATAATAACTACGCCTATGGCCGTCTGGGCAGGGGGTCAAACAATCCCACCACTGTCCCTCCTTTAATAAGGAATTCACACCACTTTGGCACTTAGATAACACTTGAGGGGATGTCTCTTTATTTAAACCTTCGCTGCCACCATAAGAATAAATGAACAGGAACCCTCTAGCTATTTAAGATGTTTAGAAGGTTGTTTAAAACACCACCAAGTACTGTCTTTTACAAGGCTTCTTTGAAGGAAAACAGGTGAGGTTGATTTAAAAAGAAAAGGGACTAAATCCACAAATGGCACGTGACTCAGGCTTAAGTTTCAAAAATAACAAGGAAAGTTTATTGAATACAGAACAGAATGAAGTGAATGCAGGTTCATAATCTTGGCTGTTACAGAGAGAATGTTCTTGTTCTTAAAACGCGTAACGGTTGCATGAGAGAATGGTTCTATCTTTGTTACAGTTCCTATTACAAAACCCAGCTATTTCTTCTCTAAAATAGCTGTAACCAGTTTGCCACAGCCTATTTCACTGTGCAAACTCCAGGCAAACTGCCTATTCTAATCACGAACTCCTAATAGCTGCTGTCACCCTGCTCTAACTCTAACATCAACCAGAACTGAACTGAACTGACTAAAAACAGCTTCTTACTTTCCCTCCAACAGTCTAACTCCGCCCCCCTTTAACAAACCAATCCTGGCTGTTTCTGGGCTGGCTCAGGCCTAGGCCACTCCCCCTCTCTGAACTGGAGCTTTCCCTAAACTAAGATGGCTCCTCCTGCCCTCTGCCAGGCCTTCTAAGCTGAAACTACCTAGCCTGTCTCTCCCAGGCCCTGCCACCCCGGCTGGCAAGGTAAGAGATCTTCACATATATGTCTTTCAATGTTGTGCAAAAATGTGTTCTGGTACGTTCACAAATTTGCACACCTTATGTTGGTTTACTTTTCATAAGAGTAGCTGTAATTCCTTACCAGTTTACTGAGCTCTAAGGATTTATTTACACTGTAGAATTGATGCAGTTTGACACCACTTTAACTGCCAAGGCCTAAGGCTATGGAATCATGAGAGTTATAGTTTTACAAGGTCGTTAGCCTTCTCTGACAAAGAAGGTTGGTATCTCACCAAACTACAACTCCCACATTTCTGTCAAATTGAGCCATGGCAGCAGAGGTAGGTAATTTTCAACGGTAAGCAAACAGTATTTTGGCACCCCTCCCCCCCCTCAACCAATCACTTATTTATTTTATATTTATTTATCGTGTCAGGGGCAACCAGACCATTCACTGATATATATTTTCTGTTCGTTGTGGGAGTTCTGTGTGCCATATTTGGTTCAATTCCATCATTGGTGGAGTTCAGAATGCTCTTTGATTGTAGGTGAACTGTACATCCCAGTAACTACAACTCACATATGTCAAGGTCTATTTTCCCCCAAGAGCGCCTCAAGAGCGCCCCTGGGCAAAATCAACTATACTCCAAATGCTTACTTTGCGTAATGGGTTGAGCCGCTCCTGCATGGCAGTTAAAGTGGAGTCAAATTGAATTAATTCTACAGTATGGCTGTACTCCATGTTAATATAAGTAAAGGTAAAGATTTCCCCTTGACATTAAGTCTAGCCGAGTCCAACTATGGGGGGTGGTGCTCATCTCTATTTCTAAGTCGAAGAGTCGGCATTGTCCATAGACACCTCCAAGGTCACGTGGCCAGCATAACTGCATGTTACCTTCCTGCCAAAGCAGTACCTATTGATCTACCAACATTTGCATTTTTTCCAACTGCTAGGTTGGTAGAAGCTGGGGCTAGCAACAGGAGCTCATACCGTCCTGTGGATTCGAACCACCAACCTTCTGGTCAGCAAGTTCTGCAGCTTAGCAATTTAACCCTCTGTACCACTGCAGCTCCTGTTAGTATAAGATTGTACTGTAAATCTCTCTAATAAAATGAAAAACTGACAGCCAGTTCTTGGACTGGTGTGATTTTTACAAGCATACATACCATTGACTACTTTAGGATGAGAAACTTGGATTTCTATGTAGAAAAGATAAATGTTCTTTGGAAGCTGAATGTGCATCTGCACAGTCATACTGAAGGAAGGAGAAATTCAATTAAGGCAGCATCAGACATCTGTTTGAGCTGAGCTGTCTGGTTTTCTAGCAGAAGGTCAATTAAATGCTAACAACCCTGGGGAATGGAATACCAGAATATAGTTCCTGCTCTAGCAGAGTTTGGAAAGAGCAGTTCAGAATAATTTGCTAGTTCAAATTTGCTGAAATACAAACAAACAAGGGGAAGCAATTCCGCAGTTTTGTTTTCTAACTTAATTAGGATTTTTAAAAAATTCTGTTATTCTTCTACTTGTATCTCTGATCAGAGATTGGAGGCAAAAAGTCATTTAAGGGCTGGGACGGTTTATTATGAAACAGGTTCTGGTTTGGTATCCTGAAAGGTTTTGCTTGAAAAGAACTTCTCTAGGCTAAAAGGCGAGCTTTTGCATCACAGAGAAAGCTCTGCTCTGCAGACCCTTAGTTTTTTGGGAAACAAAATATTTATTTATTTATTGTGTCATCAGCAACCATACCATTGTGTTACATTTC